TAGTTAGTTTTCCCGGTATTCACATCTCTCGCTGCTAACGTTTGGATCTCACGTTTTCGCTGGTCACTGATCACAGGTCACCAATATAACCAGCCCAAGGTTATTTGTGCACGACAAAGAGCCGGTTCACAACAAGTCCCTAACAGTATTACTACCAGAACAGTTCCAGTATTTTGAAGATCATCACTGAAACTCAATCATTCGGTAATATACTGGTTTGAAAATTGAATGTAAAGGTCAACAAAGTTACCAATTATGAAGTTGACATTTTAAAACATGCAACTGTATCAAAAGCGATTTTGAAATACTGTGTTGCAAAACGCAGCGTTTTAAAATTTTCAGCAAGGGATTATGCATCTCCTCTTTTTTCAGCAATACTTTTATCGATCATGTCCCATAATATGCACACTTGACAAAAGAGCCACTAACCTGGGGTCTCTATTTCATTTACGACCACAGCAAACGACTCCAAGGCCTTCTTAGAATTCATCCCAATGCTGATCTTTCCAGTGGTGTAAATATCAAACAGGCATTGCTTGTTATTACCACACACATTTCGAGCCTTCTGACCGAAGATTACGTCATCAAAAATCAAATCCTGATCGAAAAATACCGGTATGTATGCCACATCGACATAGGAGGTATGATTTTCGCCATAATATGTGAATAATGAGTCCTCTTCAGTAACAGCCCCTGTGAGGATGACATTACGGTAAGGATGACCAACAGAACAATTTTCTAGGGTCAGGTCTTAACTGAAGGCTAAGCTGAGCGCATTTTCACTGCATTCATGTAACTTGGTCACGTTTGTAAGAAGTACATTTAAAACACCAAAGGGTTGAAAAGGTTCATAAATATCTCAAGAGTAGCTTAAAGTATTTCAATCTGAATCCTGTGCTTAAAAACCATTTTAGGCCAGGGAAATGCAGCTTATCATCAAACTGAAGGCATGACTTTTCCTTCCAGAAATCCTGGATTTTTACCGGCTAGAAAGCAACCATCAGAGCTGCCAAAAGCATGTCAAACAGCGTTAGATGAATACCTCCCCCTAAAGAGTAACGTTATGTTACCATCTGAGTTCTACAGGAGGTACCTAATTAACGTTCTGGTTGAATATCTAAGTGAACAAGGATTACTGTAAATATTTAGCGTATGTTCTCAAGCGTAGTAGCTTACATTTTTGTCCAAATTCGTAATGAATTCGTGATTGGTTTGAATTAGTGTCAAGGAAGGTTCCGTTAGGAAGCAGGTATTCTTTTACTTGGTCCCCGTCCCAGAATCCCAGAAGGCCACTTGTGTTTCCTTAACAAACATAAACACAATACAGATATAAAGAAATAAATATACTTCTCATAAAGAAGGCTATCCAGCTTATCAAGAAAAGCCAGCATCATTCAGATAGCGCTGAATTTAATTTCATCATTATTTTTTATAACAAAGAGAAACAGCCTCGACCTGTTGTGATCATGAATTCCAGGATGTCACTTCAGACGAATGTTCAGGATGGGGCATACCTTTATACATCTGTGGCACCAGCAGCATCATTTGTAAAAGTTCATCGGCCTTCTCGATTGTAACTGATATGCCAGAGTTGAATATGGTGGAATATTTATAAGAGTTATTGTATTTTAAAACTGTGACGCCATTAAAATCCACCAGCAGTCGCTCATCAGATTCTATCAAAGCTCCATTCACCAGAACGTCAACTTCACTGCGGCCGTTCATGTGAACCTGATAAGAGGGAATTCAGTTCAAGTTGACGATAGATATTTCTATTTAGAGTCTGCTTAGCTAGAGTGCAGACGATGGGGTCTTTGGGACCAACACAGCACTTTTTTTTTTTTAACAGCTTTATTGACCATTACACATGTTACATACAGCAAATTAAACAGCCAAGAAAAAAAACGAAATATTTGTGCAAAGTGATTTAAAGTGATAAGGTCAAAAGGGAAGGTACGAACGGGACGCGAGGACCCATGCTAGGCACCTCCCATGGTACAAATAATAATTAAAACACGATCAACCAAAAGACGCCAAATTCAAAAGACGCTAAAAAAACTAGGGATGGCAGGGGCAGAATCGTACAATTGACCAGGTACAGGGATAGGATATGTCAAAGTGATTGTGCAAAAGGTGAAACATGTGCTCAGTAACAAAGTTGCGGAAGGAAGCAGTAGTTGAAAAACTGGTAGGGGTGAAAATTTACAGATAGTTCCAGAGCTTAACAATACGATTAAAGTAAGAGGCCTGAAAAGTGCTAGTTTTACATACAGGAGTTTTAAGGTTATAAGAATTACTTAGTCTGGTTCGGCCGTGAGAAACAGGAGTAACAAAATCATAAACATTAAGATCAGTAAAACCATTCCGACATTTGTAAAAAAAACAAGATCTTTGAGTTCGTGGTCAAATGTCAGAGGAAGAAGTTGCACTTGCCTTCCGACCACTCTTTTTCCTTTAAGGGCAAAACATTTTGTTCAGAAAGTAACGGCCACGAGTTTTCCTCTTTGTTATAAAACAACTGAGAGAAAAAGTGTTAAGGCAAAAAAACCAGCTGCATTTCATAATCATTAGTTAATACCCATTCTTCTCTCTCTTTTAATCCTTTTTAAACTGCGCACAGGGAAAGCTTAAACTGCGGTCACAAGTGTTTTCTGAATAATGAACAGCCCCCCTTTTTTCTAAAGAAAAGTCGAAGGTTAGTTTCTGTTTGGCCGGTGCTTACCTGTACAATATCCGAGCCATTTTCCTTCATCGCAAACGCCTTGTAAACTGTACCATGAGTCTTTCTGCCGTAACTATTGATCAAAGGCTGCATTCTTCCCTGTAGCTTGAACCCAGAAGGTGCTACCTGGAGAATGTGATACTCGCCATAACCATTAAAGGTGTATTCAACTCCATCCAAAGTAACCATGTGAGGATCGCCGATTCCAGTGGCTACAGAAAAAAATCAGCTAAAAATGAAAGTGAGCACAATCATTTAATTTTACCTCTAGGTTTAGTCTAATACTTAACCACAACTAGATGAAATTTGCGCCGAAAGTTTTGGCAACATTATCATCATAACATCATACAAAACAAAAATGTGCAAAAAAAAGACTTGAAAACTGCATGTAAGTAAAAGAAAAAATGGCGGGAGGATCGAATGTGATGGAAATAGTTGAATTGGTTCCTTGACCTCTTAACAAATTGCCAAGGCGAAACTTCTCAAAATCCTAAGAATCAGGCCATTTCAACAGACAGTTGACCACAATAAAGCACTTCACAGAGGTTCACAGCTCTTTCAGTTTAGGAATTACAAACACTAGTAATTCCAGCTAAATTTATCCCAATAGCTGTCGCAGCAGTACATTTCGAAGTATAATTGATTAGCGGGCTTAGTATTTATCTCAGCTTTCGGAGTCTCTTTTCAATATATCTGTCAAGAATACGCGTCATTAACTCACTTTGCGTGGATAAAATGAAAAGCAGTTTTACTCACAAGGAGACCCATTTGAAACAAAGGATAGTCATAAAATTACTGATATCCAACCTGGCCGTGGAGGCTCGTAATTCATGCCGTTATCTGATGGTCTCTTCTCA